GGGGGTCACTGAAGGGCTGCTGCGCCTCCGTCCTCCTCAGGGTCCTGCAAGGGCTCGAAGGTGTGGGCGAGGGCCTGCGCGGTGGTCAGGTACATGTCCACATCCAGCTCCAGGATCTCCAGCAGGTCTGTGGCCTGCGGGCTGGCATGTGGGAAGAGCTAAGTGAAGTCCTGCTCTGTGGCAGGGACTGGATGTAGCCTTTGGCTGCTTTGTTGTTCAGCTTCTGCACAAACTCAGGACCCGGGACCCCCGTCACTTTTGAGGATCTGGGTCAGCTGGTCCAGGTAGTCTTTCCTCTTGAACAGGGTTTTCCTGGTCAGCATCTCCGCCATGATGCAGCTGACGGACCAGACGTCCACCGTCTGGTTGTAGTGCATCCAGCTGAGGATGACCTTGGGGGTGACCGCAGCGCATTACCACATAGCCGGTAATCTTGGGATCCACGTGCTGTGCCAGCCCCAAATCCAGGATCTTCAGCTCACAGTCCTTGTTCACTGCCAGGTTGCCCGGCTTCAGATCCCTGTGGATGATGCCAGCGGAGCTGGATGTACTTGAGACCCTTGAACATCTGGTACACCAGGTACTGGATCTTGTCCTCGCTGAACTCCATGCCCATGATCTTCTGAGATCCGTCTGCATGAAGAGCATCACCAAATAGAAGTCCTGGAAGTGGCGCAGGTAAGAGGCTGGGGTGAAGACATCCAGGAGCCCAATGACGTTCTCGTATTGCATGTGCTTCAGCAGGCACAGCTCGTGGTAGGCCCTCTTGGCGAAGATCTCGGACTGGAAGGGCCGGATCAGCTTCTTGATGGCCACCTTCTCCCCTGACCGCTTGTCTATGGCAGAGCACATCACATGTGCGTCAGGGCCGCGTAGGTCTTGGGCAGCTCCCAGGCTGTCTTGTTGACATCCTGCCTGTAGAAGCCCTTTTTCCAGATGAGGCTCATCCCTTGCACCAGAGCTCGGCAGCCCAGCGCGGCGGCTGTGGTCCCGGCCCACCAGGCCCCGCTCCTCCCCTGGCTGGGGCAGGGACACCTGCCCCATGGCCACCAGGTGCCCACATGACATTAATTTTGGTTTTGATTTCCTTTTTCTTAATAGTGATGGTACACATATTTTCATATGCTAAGCTGCTCGTATATTTTTGCTGAAATGTCTATTTGAATCTTTTGTCCATTTTAAAATTTGCCGTATTTTGAGTTTTAAGAACTATTTACATATTCTGCATACAAATCCTGTATCAGATACAGGATTTAGAAAAATTTTCTCCCAGTCAGTGGTTTGTCAATTAAATTTCTTAATGGTGACTTCTGAAATGCAAAAGTTTTATATTTTTAAATATTTTCTAGAATTTTAATGAAATATTGACATCAAAATTTTCATATTATTTCTACAGGTCTCCATTACATGAGTGATTTTCACAGAATTTTCAACACATAGGTTTCTATACATATATTTGTAGGGTTTCTCCACCATGTGACTTCTTTCATGTATTTAATAAAATCCGTGGTATGCTGAATGCTTTCCTACATTGCTTACATAGGCTTTCTCCCCAGTGGCACCTTGTTCATATGAGTGACACTGTATCAGAGGAACTTTTTCACACGTTTCTTACATACTCCCCAGTGTGTATTTTGTCTACAAAATGAAGAGATTGCATGAAATCTTTTCCCAAACTGCCTAGTTTCCCCAATGTGCCTTCTTTCATGTATTTGATGGCACTTTTGTCTACTGAGTGCTTTCCCACATTACTTTTCTTCCCAGTGCGAATTTCTGCATGTGTTTGACCAGTACTCCATTGGCTGAAGATTTCCTGCATTACTGATACACATAGTTTCTCTTCACTATGCCTTCTTTCATGTATTAGAAAATATTTTTGTGTAGGGTAAGTCTTCCCACATCATTTACATACATATGGTCCACATAGTGTGAATGCTTTCATGTCTTTGACAATGACTGAATGTGTTGAATGCTTTCCCACAATGGTTATATACATAAGTTTTCTCACCTGTGTGAATTCTTTCATGTATTTGACAATCTCTCTTTCCAATGAAAGATTTTCCACAATGCTTACATACATGGGGTTTCTCCCATGTGAATTCTTTCATGTATTTGACAATTTCTCTTTTGGGTGAAAGATTTCCCACAATGGTTACATACACAGAGTTTCTCCCCAGTGTGAATTCTTTCATGTACTTGACAATCACACTTTCTGTTGAAAGATTTCCTACAATACTTACATACATAGGGTTTCTCCCCAGTGTGAGATCCTTTATGTCTTTCAAGTGAGGACTTATCAGCAAATCCTTTTCCACATTGCTTACATACATAGAATTTCTCCCTGGTGTGAGTTCTTTCATGACTATGACACTGGCTGTTGAACGCTTTCCCACGTTGCTTACATACAATAAGGTTTATTTCTAGTGTGATTTTCTTCATGTATTTCATAACAACTCTGTGTAGTGAATGCTTTTCTACATTGCTTACATACATAGGGTTTCTGCCCAGTGTAAATTATTTTATGTTTGTGAAAGGAACGACTATGAGATGATTTCACACAGTCCTTAGTTACACAGGTCTTCTCTCAAGCATGTATTCTTTCATTGACTTGAATATAGTATGAAGACATAGAAGTTTTCTCACATTGTTTGAACTCATATGGACTCCCCACACTGTGATTTCTTTCCTGGGTTTGAACAACACTGGGTGTACTGGAGGCTTTCACATTCTTCTTACCTAGAAACGTTTTCTCCCTAGGGTGAATTTGTTCACTGAGTAGGGTTTCCCATGTGGCTCATGTTGACAGTTTCTCTCCAGTCTTTCTCATTTCATGTTTCTGAAAGGACTGGAAATCACTGGCGGTTTTTCCATGTTCACTACATTTATACAGAAGCTCTTCAAATCTCAAATACTTGTCTGCATCATTTCTTAGATTTCTTGAACAATTTTTGTACTGTTCTTCCATTTGCTGGTTACCCCTACAGCAGTCATATGCATACATGTTTCCCACATCACATCTCTGTAGAGCTTCTTTTGGGGTGGATTCAGCAAAGCCAATTCTGCCTTGGTAAAGTTCACAGCTACATCCTCAAAGGTTACAGTCTCATGCCTGACATGAGGATGCTATTCTCTGGCCAGCAAGTCTCATTTGACAGCGCATACAACCCAAACTCTTCTTCACCGACACAAGCTTCCTCCATGTTCTGTTGACATTGTGTGGCTTGTGGGTTGCCCAGGATCCTTTGAATGCAGCTGGGAGCCAGTAGAAATTACAGAAAAAGGTGGTCTAGTTAGCCGGGGACTCTCAGCAACCCACTCCTGGTATACACTTTAGCGCCATGATACAGGAAGAGCCCCCCAATTTTTATATTTTAATCCAACTTATGGATTGTGCTTTTGGTACCTTATGAACTCTTTTCCCAAATGAAGGTCATCTAAAGTTTTTCTCCCTGTTTCTTGTAAACATTTTATAGTTTTAGTTTTTACATTCAGGTTTCTGATCCATTTGAATTCTATATACTGTAAAGAACTTTTTTTTTAAATCTGCTACCCAAATCCAAATGTCCTAGTATTATTTGAAAAGATCTTTTCTCAGTGAAATGAATTATCCTGGCACCTTTCAAAATCAATTGACCATAAGTATGATTATTCCTGTATTCTCTCCTGTTTCACCAATCTATACCCATCTTTATATTAACAAATACTATTATTGTCACTGTATAATAAGTTTTGAAATCAGCAAGAGTTCATTTCTAGAATTGTTTTTAGCTATTCTGGATCCTCTGCATTTCCATATAAATTAAAGGATGAGCTTGTCAATGTTTCAAATAAGCATGCTATGACTTTTTCCAAACCAATTAACTGCATGCTTTTTTTTTCTCATTAGCTTATGTACTCATTTTAATTATATAAATTTATAAGGTATATTGGTAACTCAATACATGTATACAGTACATGATCAAGTCACAGTAGTTAACTTTTCTATCTCCTTAATATAGTTTGCTATCAGAAAAAATACAAATCAAAATCACAAAGAGATCTTATCTCAGAATGGCTAGAAGCACAAAGACAAAAAATAAGGGGCTGGTAGCCAGGTGTGGTGCTTGCACATCTGTAAACCCAGGTTTTGGAAGGCAGGTGTACTGCTGCAAGTTTGAGGCCAACTTGGGCTACATAGTGAGTTCAAGGTAAATCTGAACTACTTAGGGAAACCCTATTTCAAAAAAAACCAGGGTGGCGTGGGGTGGGGTGTAGCTCAGTAGTGGAGCACTTGCCTAGTGGTGGAGGCCTTGGCCACATGGAGAAGAGTTTGGAGGTTCCTTAAAAAACTGAAAATAGATCTACAGTATGATCTAGGTATCCCACCACTGAGTATATATCCAAAGCCAATGTTTACTACTGTATTGTTCACAACAGCTGAGATATTCACCATCAATGGATGAGTATTCATCCATAAAAAAGTATATTCTATCAGCAGCAAAATGTCTGGAAATGGACAGTATTATGTGAAATAAGTTAGATACAGAGAGACAAGTACAACATGGTCTCTTATTTCTGTATGTTTAAAAAAAGTCAATCTGAATGTTTGATAGGTACTGAGAAGTAATTCTAGTGTTCCACAGTACAGCAGGGTGACCACAGTTTATAATGACCTATATTTTATAAATAACTAGAGGGGAGGAGCTTGAAGGCTCTAAGCACACAGTAATGATAAAGAGATGGATATGTTAATTACCCCAATTTGACCAGTACATACTGTATTCATGTTCTGAAATATCATAGTGGGAGAACTGCTGGTTTAACAATATCAGACATTCCAATTCATTAACATAGAATGCCTTTTACATCTATACCTTTTTAAATTTCTCTAGATGTTTTATAATTTTCATTCAAGTCTTCTTATTCCTGAGTTTTTGGGGTTTTCTGATGCTGTTGTGAATGGAATTTTTTAATTTTTCCATTGCTGGTACACAAAAATAGTTGTTTTTTGTACATTGATATTGTAATCTGTGGCCCTGCTGAACTTTATTGGTTCTAGTACATTATAATTTTAATGGTTATATCCAGATGAGATTTAAAAAAAAAAAAAATCAAAGATGCCCCAGACCAACAATAGGGTAGTAGCATTCAGTCCTTTTCAATAGAGACAGTATGGCCTCCTGCCTTATTTTACAGACAACTGAAATGAAGTCCATAAAGTTCAGGTGACTTGGGCTGAGGATGTAGTTCAGGGGAGGGTGCTTGCATAGCTTGCACAAAGCCCTGGGTTCTTTTCCCAGAACTGAAAAAAAAAAACCATTTAGATGACTTGGCCACAAAGCTAAGAACAGAATTTGCATTGTTGGGTATTAGGATCTGTCATTTTCCCCAGTGTCTAAAGTTCCTCAAACTGTCTGAGATCTCCCATTGACTGCTGTGGAGGCAGCAATCTAAATTCTAGAGATTCTCTCTTATAAACAAACTAAAATGCTTCCCCCTTAAAAAAAAAAAAAATTGATTCTAGAACATCCCAGGATTCTCATTTTGGACTTGTAAGGTCAATTATCTTGCTTGGGATCATTTACAGGAGAGTTAGCTTCTTTAAAGAAGTCTAGACTTTTCTAAAGGACTTCATCTTAGATTGCATTTATTGACCTATTTACTGTTCTTTAGAGTTTATATTGGAAGGCCAAATGGTAATTTTTTTTGTCAATTGCTTTGATAACTGGTATCATTCAGAAAAACCAGGTTATTACATTTTCTTGAATATTGATTCCAGCTTCAATTTATGACTTCAGTTTTTTTCAAATAAAAATGCTATCTCTTATAGCCAAGGATGCAAGGACTTGGGTTATTTTTCTTGGGGTAATGGTTCTCCTCTGTTTGGGAAAATTATCCTCTGCAGGTAAGCACTGAGTGATAGGGAATGAAACTTGAGAATGTAAAGCTCTTTCTTGGAACCAAGCTAATTATTAGTCACCACTAGGCCATGACTATGGCTAGAATTCCAGATATGGTGAGAAGTTCATCTTCTGTTCTCTTTTCCTGAATTATACCTGTGAAACAAAAAAGGACAGTTTGAATAAGACACTTATTTTACCAGCTATTGTAGATACTGTGTTTTCTTCCCAATATATGTTCCATTTCTTTCCTATTATGTTACAACAATAGTTTGAATAGAAGAAACCCAGCGTCATATTCGGTTCCAGAGATAGGCCTTGACTGATCTAGGTCCACTAGAAAATTTCATTTCTCTCATTCCTTGCCAGAGTGGGTCAGCTCATGCCGGCATGTCTCATCTGAGGCCCATGAGCTACTTGCCCTTTAAAAAAATAATAAAATAAAAATATACTTAAGGAAGTTTTGTTACATACATTAACTATATATTTTATATGCAGTCAAACACAAATCACTGTGGCTTGGACAGGCCAAAAGACACCATGGTTCACAGCATTCCTATGGCCACATAGACTGGTTCAGGTATATCCTTGATTAGTGTGAAGTTCAAGACTCTCATCAGGAGAGTATAGTATATTATATATGAAACAGAACTACTGAATAATTTTGACACCTCTGGTACAGCTTCTAACATGGCCCCCAATGCTTGCTGCCTCCTGGTATTCATGTCTTTGGACAACCCTCTCATCTTGAATGTGGGCTGGACCTAGTGGTTAGTTTCTAATAAAATATAGCAAAAGTGATGGTAGTCACTTTTTTTTTTTTTTTGGCTCTGCCTGCAGTCTTGACCTGGCTGCTAGTTTTCATAGTCTGACTTCTCTTGAATGGCTCTTGGTAGTCACTTCTGACAATAGTTACAAAGACTGTGGCTTCCATCTTGGGTATGCTTTCTCACTTGCTCACTGTGAGGGAAGATATATGCCACTGATCCCTGGTACTAAAAAAAAAATCACTAAGGTTCTGCCTGGGTAGTGGGTGGTTTCATTGAAAGGAGCAGTAGGATAAAGACATTCACAATGAATCACTGCAGTAGCTGGGTTGAAGTAAATTTCTACTTCCTGGGAAGAAACATCACTGGGACATATGGGATGGCCTGGGCTTTAGTAAATAGTGAAGAGTTTTCTGGAATGCAAGAAGCATAACTAACTGTTACAGTCTACAAAGGAAGAATAGCAACAAGGATGGGGGACAAAGAAAAGTACTATAGCTAAAAGTGACTGAGGTAGCTGAGAACAAAGGGATAGTATGCTTTCCTTAGCAAACTGAGGGCATCTTGAAGTCTGTACAGTACTTGGTTTTGAAAATTTCCACAAAGGGCTGGGGGTATTTCTCAGTGTAGGATGCATAAGGCCCCATGTTTGATCTCCAGAACCAAAAACAACTCCCTCAATTTCCAAAGAAAAGAATCCACACAGGCAACAAATGAGAAAAATTCAAAGTGAAATATAATCCAACTTACCCCTCTGGTTAACAGCTAATTCTAAATACGATGGTTAAACTTTTAAGGTCTTCATTCTTTAAGTGTAATTCTTCAAGCAAGGTGGCTATAAACTGTGTAAATAACACATTTTTCGGAGAATGCTTCTGAATGCCAAGAACTGGGGTCAGTCTGAAACAACCAAAAATACTAAATGAGAAGAGTGAAGGGACTCATCTTCAACACTGCAGGGAGGATTGAGGTCTCTGATTTAACAAAATTCCCAGAGAAAAATGGGAAAATTTACTAAAAATTTACTAAAAATGATAGCAAAGTCTCCAGAAAAAAGAGCAAATATTAAGTCTGAATATGTTTTTTATTATGTCAGTAAAGCCTACTAAAATTCTGTTTAGAAAAGAAAATGAATTTCCATTTAGGGAAAGGTTATGGAGAGGAGCTGAGTACTGTTTAAAAAAATTTATATGGAACATTTGGATTATATTGCCGGAAAAAGATAATAAACACAATTACTTTTTGCATGAAACCTTAACATTGTTTTTTTTTTTTTGGTACCAGGGATTGAACTCAGGACCTTGTGTTTGCAAGGCAGGGGTGGTGCCACTGAGCTAAATCCCCAGCCCAACATTATTGTTTTAAAACACTAAATGAATTATGTCTCACAAGGCAATTAATATAAGGAATCATAAGCTTCCTATGATTTGTAAGGAATCCTATGCTTTTTTTCACTGTTTCTGGTAAATAACCCTGAAGACTGAACTGACTTCATATAATGGAATCTTTAAAGTAACTTTCATTGAAATGTGGTAAGCAAGATTTTTAAATAGTAAGCAATCTAGGAGATTTAAGACTGTGAACACAGAGAGATGCCGAGTGGTCATAACCTCCTTTTTCACAAAGAAGAACCAAAATAACAAGAATGTACCTGCATTTTGAGGTGAGTGACCTTAGGAAAAGACTGGAAGTCAGCAAGAGAGAAAATGAAATCTTAAAAGATTTGGAGACCTGGGACAATAGCACAGTAAGAGAAACCAAATGTCCTGATATCACCCTACCCCCATAGCCAGAAGGGAGGGAATCTTCTTTTTTGCAAGGGTAAGGATGTAAGAGTCTCAGTGAATTGTATCATTGTGGATGCTGGCAATCCCAGCTATTGGGAAGTTTACAATCTCCCAGGCTGGCAGTTTACTTAGATAAGTAATCTAAAATCTGCACAGCAGGCTTGCTTTGGAAAAGGATCTCACATCATCTCCTAGGGATTCTCCCAGAGTGCAGTAGCCAGGGGCCATTTTGAGAAGTGAGCTACTAGGGATCAGAACACCCTGCATAACTGACTCTGGTACTCCACAGACATTCCACTGCACTGGCTTGGAGGGTAGCTGCCTTAAACCCAACTTGGTTGAGCAGGGTTCAGACTGTGATCTTATTTCTGCTGAGTGCCCTGCACTCTTTTTTTTTTTTTTCATTGTTCAAGAGTTTGATTGAGGTCTAGTATTTTGTTACTTATTTTTTGTCTGGTTGATCTATTTGTGACAGTGGGGTATTGAGGCCCCCCATTACTATTGTATTACTGCTTGATTTTTCACGTCCATTAGTATTTGTTTTATATAGTTGGGTGCACGAGTGTTTGGTACATATATGTTTATGATATCTCTTCCTCTTGGATTGTTCCCTTTACAAGGATGTAGTGGCCTTCTTTATCTCTCAATCAGTGTTGGTTTGAAATCTACTTGATCTGCAAAGAGGATAGCTACTCCTGCTTTTTTTTGGGTTCCTGTCTCATGGAGTATTGTTTTCTACCTTTTAACTTTCAGTCTATGAGTTTCTTTTTGAATTAAGTGTGTTTCTTGTATGCAGCATATTGTTGGATCTTGGTTCCTGACCCATTCTGCCAGTCTATTTTTTATGATTGGTGAGTTGAGACCATTAACATTCATGGTTATAACTGATACGAATTGACTTATCATTGTCATGACTCTTTCTTTTTGTGGATTCTTCCCCTTTGCATTTAATTTGTTGTGCCTGATGGATTCATTCTGCTGGGCTTCCTGGTGTTGTGATCCTCATTGTTTTTTCCTAGGATATTGTCTAAAATTTTTCAGAGTGCTGGTTTGGTATTCATGAAGTTCCTCAGGCGCTCTTTGTCATGAAAGTATCTTATTTCTCCATCAATTTTGAAAGATAGTTTTGTAGGACAAAAGATAGTTTTGCAGGACACATCAATCTGGGTGGGAGGGTGTTTTCCTTTAGGGCTTGGAATACACCACTCCAAGCTCTTCTTGGCTTTAGGGTTTGCGTTGAGATGTCTGCTGTGATGCTGATGGGCTTCTCTTTCTATGTGATTTGTTTCTTTCCTCTAATTGCTTGTAGAATTTTGTTCTTCTGTTGGGTTTCTGGAATCTTAACTATTATATGCCTATGTGTAGGTATTTTTTGATCAAAACTAGTTGGAGTCCTATATGCCTCCCTTATCTGTATGTCAAGTTCTTTTCCCTGCTTGGAAAGTTTTCTGCCATCACTTCTGTGAAGAGTTTTTTTTTTAATGTCATCTGCACTCTCTCCTTTTTCTTCATTGACTTCGATCAGTCTTATTTTATTCTTCTTTGCATTGTCTAGCAGCTGCTGGATTGATTTCTTGTAGTCCCTTACTATTTTAAAGGAATTTTTCTTTTCCTGGTCACTAATTGCAATCTTATCTTCTATATCTGAAATTCTGTCCTCACATTGGCTCATTCTTCTGTG